CTATCTATCTATCTATCTATCTATCTATCTATCTATCTATCTATCTAATCTTTCTCCCACTTACTACCATCTCTCACTCATTACTGCATTAAGGTTTTGATGTATTGATTTCTCAATCACTCCCATTTGCTCATCATGTTTTTCTTGATTGCTGCTATGACTCTCATGCTTGCTTAATTGCTTAACTGTCTCTTGCTTTCTCTCAGTAGAAAACTGGCTGATGTATGAAGTCTAGAGAGAAGTAATAATGAAATAACCTGAAGGCAATGAAGTTGCATAACTACCAGGAAATGCAGTCATGCTGCCATCTAGCTGCTCACATTTTAAAACAAAAATTAGCTACCCCCTAAATCCAGCTTTCCCCACTTTATGCCTATCAGAATTTTTGAACTAGAACCCCCAGAATTCCATGCCAGCATATCATTTGTCCAGCACTCCACCTTGTTTGTGCACAAGTTTTAACCACAATTAAAATTGTACACCCTATTCACTGTGAACACTGAATGGGAGTGCCATCACAGTGCCATTGTAGTGCAGGTAGTCCTTGAATTACACCCACAATTGAGCCCAAAATTTCTGTTGGTATGTGAAACATTTGTTAAGTGAGTTTGCCCCATTTTCTTTCCACAGTTGTTAAGTGCATCATTGCATTTGTTAAGTTAGCAAGGTGGTTATGAAGTGAATCTGGCTTCCCCATTGACTTTGCTCGTCAGAAGGTCGCAAATGGTGATCACATGACTCCAGGACATTGCAACCGTCATAAATATGAACCAGTTGCCAAACATCTGAATTTTGATCACATGATCACGGGGATGCTGCAGTGGTTGTAACTGTGAAAAATGGTCATAAGTCAAATCTTTCAGAGCCATTGTAACTTCGAACCATCACTAAATGAACTGTTGTAAGTCAAGGATTACTTGTATCGGGTCGTGATTAAAGTTAAGAACTAGGATTGGTTCAAGTTAATTGAAGGAGAGTGATATGCATGTCCCTTTGAGTTTCTTGTGTAAAGATGGAATATAAATCTAACTAAGAAACCAACAAGAGGTTGATTAAGATCCCACATATGAAAAGGGACTCTAGTAAAGATTTTACTAAGATTGGAGATCATGATTTAAGAAGTACCATAAGAGGCTGACTTGCAAGAAGATGTGGAATAAGATGTTAATGGCTGTTTTGACTCTATAGTAACTGGATACTATTGTAGATACAAAAGAAAGCGGGAGAGAGGGCACACAACTAGAACAACCACACACTATGATGGTAAATTTGGGCAAGAAAATATTCAAGTGGTTTTTGCCAAGAAGAAGTCTTGGCATATTTCCAGATCTCTCATAGAAATCATGGCAGGAAAAACTGTATAGTTTCATATTTTTTTCACATACTCATAAAAGTACATTGTTTATGGGAACTATTTCAGTTTCTATTTCACCAGAAGAATGGCAAAAATAGAAACCAATAGTCAATTCAGCATTTTCAGCATTTCTTTTGGTTCGTTTGAAACTCCATTACCAATTTTCCTTTCTTTCCTGGTGTTTGTAGTTCTAAGAAGTAAGTAGACGTACATATGTATATGACAAACTTGTAGCATACCATTGTGTTAAATTTCATCAATAAGCATCTTCTTTAGGTACTTCTCTTAAAATTCTGTAGTTCAGCTTTCTCTAAGCATGTCCCTCTGGGCCTTTGGCCTTGCAGGTTGGAAATCCCATCATGTAAGAATCTTATCTCTAGTCCCCTTAGCCAATTCCTGCAATCAGGAGAAAGCTAATCTGAACCAACATTACCCTCTGTCATGTTCAGAACGTTTCTTGGTGAAATTTATACTGTCAGAAGTTTTCCATCCAGTGAAGTGTAAAATCTATTATGAATGTCCATCCCTGGGCACCAATAGAGTCTTCTAGATTCCAGATGACTCTTGGAAAATTTGGTTGGTGCTTCTGTCAATGCCCTCATTGTTGGGTGGTATACTGAGTTATCCTAGGCGATTCACAATTGCACCTAAGTACCCTCTTCCTGTATATAGAGCCCAAGAAGCACCATGATATACATGGGAGCTGAGAATTATGAAGCACAGGGCGTGACAGCTAGAGTACAAACTTTGCCAAGAAAAACTCATAGCAAATGC